CTCTGCTCCCAATTCACCATTTCCTCAATACCATAAAAACTGCCCACATCACTTGCATGAAACTGAACTCTTGAAGGCAGCCAACGCCATCTTCTTCTCTGCAGTCATAGGACTTGCCCAGTCACATTTGAGCAGCAGTGGACACTGCTCACCAACACTGATTTGCCATTGTCTCTCGTTTTCCTTATCCTACATTCCAAATGTAGTGATTCGCCAAGGTTTTGAAATTAACTCCCTTCTCTCCTTTTGTACATTCTCGCAGGGCCTTGGTGATCTTACCCACCTCTTCAGTACTATCTCCTTTTTGTAAATGAGTTCCATAGCGTTATTCCTAACTGTGGCCTTTCCCTCAACTGCCCACTTCATAGGAATATCCCATAGAATATGAGAACACCCTACTTCTCAGAATCTGCTTGGTCCAAACTTAACACTTACTTCTTGAAATACACACACCCTATAACTGCCCTATTTCTGTTTAGGGTATCTCTTTTTTTCTTTTTACAAGTTATCTAAATTCAAAATTTTAGAACACTCATTGCACCAACTAATGTTCCTACTCACATCCTATCAAATAATCTGTTTATTTCCCCTGCAAGATCATTTCCATTCCATTGTGTTTCTGTACTTTAGGATCTATTACATCTTAGGCTTATGTTTTTCTATTACAATGACCTTTTAGTTGGCTTACTCAAGGCTACATTTCTCAACTCTACTTTCCCAAATGCAACACACATTCTTTATTACATCATATAAATGACCATCTTAAATGATCACTTTCATTATGTCATCCTGCTTAACACAATTCAGGAATATACGCTCCTAATTTTTAGTATGATATTCTATGCCTTTCATTTGGTTTTATCTTAGTTTCCAGTTCTCTTTTGTTCTTCTTCTTCTCTACCTCCCACCTTTGGCAATCTAAAACATATCTGCTTACTCTTTCTGAGGGGTAGTTCATGTACGCTCCATGTCCTTGTTCACACATATGCCTCAACCAGGCAGAATTCTTTTTTCTCCTCCTGCTAAAATCTTCACCTATAAAGACCCTAGTATTTCAAGATTCTCTAAGCTTGCCAACTCTGTCTCAATGCCTTCTAGGATCAATCCAGCTGAAAGCAATTTCTCCCCCCTGTGCATTTTCCCAGTACCTAGCTTATAACCCTCACAAAGCACTTATTAGTATTATTCACTGACCTCAAGTGTGAGGATTTGGATCCACATATTTTCTCCTCCACTCACTCCTCACATTAGATCGTACATTTCTCAAGGTCAGGGTTAATTTTTCATAACTTTGTAATCCTACTGCACTTGGCATAGGGTCTTATACAAAGCTAGTACTTGATTAAAAAACTAAGTTGAATAAATTTAGACTAAAAACAAATACATCTAGAAAAACATATATAGATGTGATCATTAGTAATTACTCCCTTCTAACTCTAGAGTTTACCAGAAGCCAAGCAAAAGTGGGTGACTTTGTACTATGCAAATTCACCATTCTTCATATTCAAAAATCCAGAAGTTCATGCAGAATTTGGCTTAATTCTCACAGGAAGAAAAAAACCGTTTCATTTACATGTTCCCTCTAGTCCTCAAGTGTCAGCACCTTTTGATGTGCATAAGTGGGAGAGAAGACAGGAAAGTGTTATGTTTCTAAAGCAACCCCCACAGAAAGATCAATTTTGTTTATAAAAATGAAAACCTAAAAGTGGAAAAACTTAAATGGAAATTTTGATAAAGTTTCCCATTACAGGAATATGTTTTAATATAATGAGTTTTCATTTCAGAGCAATTCCTCCCCAACCCCCCAATCAAATAAATAGGATGAAACATTTTAATGGTGTAATTTTTGTACTAACTATATTTATCTCATTGTGCCCTTCAATAAATGACAATGTATCGAATATCCCTGATGAAGAGAGCATATCAAAATCTAAAACTTAAAATTATATGTGCCTATTCATTTATGCTTCTATTATTCTAGCATTTGATAGCTGGATTTCTTTGTAAATTCTCTATAAAATAATCCAAAAAGGCAATTATTAATTTTAAAGTAAATTTTATAGAAAAATATGGCTTTTGTAGAATAGAAAAAAATAAATTTATTATGGGACATACTGAACACATGGAATAGGTATTTTATTCAGAGAAAATACATCCCAAAGAGAATCAACAATCTAATTATGACAATAAGTGATGTACACAAGGGTTGCAACCACCTATTTTATTTTGTATAGTAATGATCTGACTATTGCATTGCTAAAGTATCCACAGAGTCCCCACAGACAGCGACTAGTTGTTGTAAAGACATTTAAACAGTCAAAAGAAATGCTTTATGAAAAATAAGAGTAAGATGAGATTACCATGTAGACAACAAAAATAGAAAGGATAGTGAAACTACTTAAATAGGGAATGGAAACTGAGGTGTGTGTACTATGCTCTCAGATAAGTAGGTAACTGAAATTTATTAAGTTAAAGCACAGAAATAACAATGTTTTTATGACAAAAAATAAATAGCTGTGAGCAAGACAGATGTGAGATGGATGCTTTAATTTTGATCTGATGTTAAACTGCTAATATATCATTACACGTGCTGTTTAAACAGGTCTTTTCATTTCAGAATAAAAACTTTTATTATTGTATTTTATCAGTCTTTCCTTGGTGGCATCTTCCTTACCTAGATTACATACAGGAAACCAAAACACAATTCATAAAACAGATGGGAAAAGACCCCATCTGTTGATCCACCCACTGTAACATTATTTACTTACTGTTAAATATGAGCACGGTATGCTATCCAAGTCTGCAAAATACTTAATTTAGTGTTGCTAGATAAGGGAAGTATCATTTGAATACCTGTATGTTTCAAAAGCAGTCTGTACCATGTTTATGAAGAAACTTTTGGGGGTTTCAAAAAAATGACTTTGAGTTGGAGATTAAATATTGATTTTGTAATTTGGCTAGTCATTTAAAAGAAACAATCTTGTAAGTCAGGCTTCAATCTTGTGGTACCTCAGTGTATTTTACATTTTTTTAGGGCAGGTCAAATAATCAGCTCTTGTCTCACTAATCCATTCCAATGTCCCGAAGAAGATGTTCTGATCAGCCACTTAAAGATAAAAGTGACACTCAAGTGAGGAATGCACAATGAAAAAAAGTTGAACTTATTGTGTACACTAAGAGCATTGTATTTGTCAATGTAATGGGAAACAAACAAACAAAAAGGAATTAAAAAAAAAACCAAAAAACCCCTATTTCTGTCTTGAATGAAGTTGTAATTTTAAGGCCTCAAATTCGACCCTTTTCTTAGAAATGCTACACAAAGGTGCCCAACTTGAGCATTCACAAAGCCCTTTTCCTGCTCCATTTTTCTCCAAAGCACTTATCACTGTCCGGCACACCATATACTTATTTGCTCCTGCTCCATCTCTTCAAACTAGATTGCAAGCTCTTAACAGGCAGGGACTCTTGTCAATTTTGTTCACTGCTGTGTATCCAGTGCCTGAAATAGTGCCTGGCACTTAACAGGTACTCAGTTAAAATTCACTGAATATAAATAAGAAGACCATTATTATTTTGTTTTCCTAGACTTCTGGCTTGCATTTCCTCTCTAAGTATAACTAACTGCATTTTTTTCTATCAAGCTTTCCCTTAGGCACACAGCAGCCTGCGTTTCAATGTGATTCCACTTATTAGGTGTGATACTGGGTGAATTCTTATTAATTTCTCTGAGCTTCAGCAGAATGGGGGTCACGGAAGTATCTGTGGGTTGCCAAGAGAAATGAATGTGGGAACTCACATTAAGTACTTAGCACAATGCTTGACACAAAATTAAGCGTTTCATAATAAATGTTAGCAGTGACTGTTCTTACCATTATAACTATTAAAATATTTTCTTCTGTTGCAAACAGCTCACCAATTCTTATAGGACCTCACAATTCATGAAGCTGGGGGCATTTAGATTCAGGGCTAAGGTTACATGTGGTTGATTCTCCTGAAAAAAAGCTACTTCCCGTGTGGGTTGCTTTCAGGAAGCACTGATCCTCCTCTTGTATTCCCACAGGGCTGTATATTCCTCTCTCTAGGAAACACTGCACTGTATTTCAATTAGTTGATTATGTGCAGTCTTCCCTGCTATACTGTGTGGTCTTCTAGGGTATGAAATCGCTTATCCTATTACAAAGCAGGCACTCTATAGACGTTTCTTTGTCTGGCGGATGGGTTACTGTAAAGAAATGAGCCTGATTCCATTATTTGTAGTGATATCACGCATGTACTTTCATTACAAAATTACATTTCTCTATAGATGATGTAGATCTAGAGAGAAGGGTAGAGGTTTTAGTGGTGGAGAGCGATGCAAAACAGGGTGTGTATGAGAATAAAAGCAGTGTACTGGCGTTTGGTGATGTGCTACAAACCGCAAAGTGCTAAGAAGACTGATACAAAACCTGTTCTTGTTTTCTCATAAATGATTCCTTTATTTCAATAGTAATGATCTAATTCAAATCCATCTTACTTTATGTTAAGTGTGACTACCCAGGGAAAAATTCTAATAAAAACATACTTGATAAACTTGAAAAGCACAGTTATTAGAAATGAGGATTGTGGAATAGAAAAAAGGCACACAGCTCGAGGTCTGACTGCGTGTAAGAATCCAAAAATACTTACGATGTTACGAATCCTTAGATATTTAGCACCACAGCAAATAAACTTTCAAGGAACTAATTTTAAAAGTCTTCCAAATGCATAGTATTTAGGAATGCTAAAACCTGTTTTAAATGATAAAAATGTATGATGCTTTACACAGGCTAGAAAACAGAAATGCGTGCCTCTGGGAAAAGGAGGAAGCTTGAAATTGGCAGATATTATTGTTGAAATAGCCATATAGTTGGTATTCAGAATAAGAGATCAGAGAAAAAAACCCAGTATCAAGAGGCCTGTAGTCAAAAGCTATCACATGCTGTGTCCTCTTGAGTAACGCTTCCTATCAGGGAAGTACTTACATTAGGCCTCAGCTTGGCCGCCAGATCATAATACTTCTCGGCTGCTTCATTGAGGCTAGCCTGTCTGTTAAAGAAAAAAAAAAAATCAAATGATATCATTGATATTAAATTACAGAAAGGTGAACAGAAACATTATGTAGCAAAAGAATACTCACTTTAAAAAAATTATAATCACACCAATCAAATAATAAGTTGCCTAAGCAGAAATACCATTAAAACTTGAACACATGCAATGCATTTAAGGCATTATAAATAGTGTCTCAATACAATCCTATTCAGTCAATATTATTTTAAGTTTCTGTATGAGGAATTAGAAATGTTATTTTTCCTTCTCCAAGCTAACCCAGGTAATACCTAACAGAGCTGGGATTCTCTAGCTTCAAGATGATGTTCCAAAAAATATTAATTTTTAAAAATAATCAAAGTTAATGAGTTGCTGGTTTTGTAAAAAATAGTGACTATTTGCAGTTCCTTTTTTTAAAAAGTCTGTATTTATATACAGAGCCACTTTATTTCCAGCTCAGGAGGACAACTTTCCATTGTGTGTGGCCTACAGTAAAAAAAAAGGTCAATTTCTCCCTCTCTTTGCTCTCTGGCCATCAGGGTAGGCATGTGACAACTGGATGTTCTTGCTTGGGACTTTGATTTCTCAGTGAGTGACAGTGACAGAAAGATAGAGAGATGGTTAGAATTCACTGACAATGGTGGAAGCAATAGGGCTATGTCCAGGATAGACTCTTCTTGCAAAGAACTGCTATTGGATGCTTCTTGACCTGTGGGGATACCTTGTTCACTATTAATTCAAGCTTTGTCTTCTAGCCCACGCTGAATTCTGTAGTTTCCACAGCCTTCAAATTGCCGGAGTCAATTTTTCTTGATTACCACCAAATACCATTAGGGGCACCACTGACTTCTAAACATAAGATGCACACTGAATTTTACAGATAAGTTTGTGCATTGTCTCTTCTTGAAATTGATAACAAACCCCTAGGTTTGGCCAACTCGTTAGCAGAATAAATAAAATGGCAGGTTCCTAAGGAAGCCCAGCCAATTATCCATCAAAACCCAGTATGTTTTTTATTGATCATGCCACGCTACTTCAGAAAACCTCAAAAATGGTAGAGAGCAAGAGCTAGGCGCTCTTGCAGGTTTTGCTGCAATCTGGTGACCATATTGAGGGGTACAGAAAAAATGATATAGAAAAATGACAATTCCATTTCAGATGACTCAGCTCCAACTATTACTATATACGATAGTAATAAATGGATTGGGCTCCTGCTGTTGAAATGGAGTAGGTGTTCTCCTGAAACTGTGATGTTAAGAAGCTTTTGAGACAAGAAGATGGCAGAGAGGTCAGGAATCAAGAGGACAAACAACATTAACTTTCTTAATAACAAAACCACATTCAGGTTTTAAACGAGTAGGTTAACTAGTCATACCTATAAAATTGAATTTGCACTTTGGTCAAGCCAAATAAAAAATATAAAGACATACCCCATGCAACCATATAAATTATAGGAATAACTGAAGATAGCATCTCTCTGGAGAGCAGAACATATTTTTCTAATTTTTAAAGGAAAAATAATTAGAAACACTGCCATTTTTAATGGGGTTATAGAGAAAGTAAAAACCCTTGACCTAAGGCTCTACTGGCCTCGTGACATGTTACAATGTGCTGTTGCAATTTATAGTCTCATAAATGTAGAAGTTCAATTTCAATATGTCAAGAAAAGTACTTTAGTCTGGTATGAAAGACAAACTTCCCTCGCTAGGGTATTTAATGAAAGGTCCCTCCACCAAATTATAGAATCACTTTGGTTCAGATTCATTTGGAAATTTGAACCAGAATTCATTAGGTCATGCCCTGGAAGGGTTTTCTCCAGAGGAAAATAAAAGACACGGAGGTAGGAAATTAGAGTAACTTAATACTACAAAGAAGTAATTTACTTTGAAGAAAATCAACCAATAGATGTCTGACACAGAAAGTCAGCTACCATTCATATTTATCTTTATGGACATTCAAATTCATGAGGCAGATAAAGATCTAAAGAGAAACTGAGGAACTAACCAGATAAAATGGCTTAAAAATAATAATCAATAAAACTGAAAATAATCAACACAACATTTCTCCCTCAAAATACAGTTATTAGTTTTTAAAGTCTTTATTGTCTTCAGAGGTTTAATTCCCAAAGGACAAAGCTAGTTTAGAAGACTCCATTCTTAAACTAAAAGTAGAATTGATGATACTCTAATAAAATAGAAAAAGAGGGTAGAATTAATTAGATTTGCCACATAACTGTGAAAATTAATTTTCACTCTAGGACTTTGCTTCTAATATTAAATGGTCTTTATTGACTACTAATCAGTAGGCATTTATGATAACCCATGGATAACAGCAGGGAAAAGAGTAAGTCAGTTCTATAAATGTTCATTTATATCCTTGTTTCATTCTCTAAACAAGAGAGAAAACTCAGGATCAACTGTCCAATGTCCACTTTATGATGTATGCTGTATTTCATTCTCCCCTCTGCAAGAAGTATTCTAGAAGTGCTTAAATCTTAATTGCAAAGATGACTGAATCATTAATCAACATTTGAAAACTGAGGAAACTGAAATAGCAATATTCTGCCAGTTGATTAGAGGATTCTAAAAACCCCTAATTGTCAAGAACCTCAATGATTCCATGACTCAGGTTCCTAAGACTACTGGGATCAAACTATTTAAAGAAGCTGATCAAATATACTTTTCCTGAATACCACTATCCTTTCTTTCTTCACTATTTCTTTTCTGGAACAAAAGTTTCTAAATAGAGCAGGTGAGTGGTTGAGCTGGGTGGAGTGGTTAGAGTCCAGGCTTCTAAACTAAATATCTGAACCACAGGATCAAGTGGGTATCTTTGTACACATCAAGATGTAGGAGAATGAGGGGTGGCTGGGTGGCTCAGCTGGTTAGAGTGCGAGCTCTGAGCAACAGGGTTGCTGGTTCAATTCCCACATGGGCCAGTGAGCTGCACCCTCACAACTAGATTGAAGATAATGACTTGAGCTGAGCTGCCACTGAGGTGCTGATGGGCGGCCAGATGGCTCGGCTGGTTACAGCGCATGCTCTTAACAACAAGGTTGCCTGTTCAACTCTTGCGTGAGATGGTGGGCAGCGCCCCCTGCAACTAGATTGCAAAGGGCAACTGGACTTGGAGCTGAGCTGCGCCCTCCACAACTAAGATTGAAGGACAACAACTTGACTTGGCGCTGATGGGTCCTGGGAAAAACACACTGTTCCCCAATAAAGTTAAAACAAAACAAAACAAGCAACAAACAAACAAACAAAAAAATGAGAGCAGAGTTTCCTGGAAAAGACATAGCAGGATATGTGATATGTTGTTCTGTGGCAGATGACCCCAACGATTCTTACATCAAATACCAAGATAGGAAAAAGACACACTTTTTGATTGTTATGTTTAATAGCCATGATTTAAGTGTAAGAGATGAGATTCAAAAGGGAGGGCGGGATATGGAAAACATTTCTAATTCCAGGTTTTACTTCTTGTCCAACTCCATCTCTCAAATTGATAGAATTGAAGAATTGATAGAATTGATAGGCCAAATGGAGAGTCTAGTTTTTGGGTTCTTTTTAATTTTATTGGGGATTTGGGGGAGGGGAACAGTGTTAGGGGGAGAGGAACATTGTTGGGGAATTGGGGAAGGGGAACAGAAAAGTTGCTGTCCTTTTGTTCTTCAGTCTAGTTGTGGAGGACATTGCTTCACTGGCCCATGTTGGTATTATGATTGCACTTTTCCCAGGTAAGGCAGTTGCTCACTGGCCACTGGATGGCCACTCATGGCAGCTCTTGGCAGCGCATGCTGGCTGCCAACCGCTCACGCCAGCTGCCAGCCACACATGGTAGCTTACGGCAGGCCCCTGCAGCCTACGCCGTCCCAGGCGACTCATGGTAGCCCAGCTCCAGGTCTGTTGTTCACCATCTTAGCTGCAGAGGGCGCAGCATCATTGTAGAGGGCACAGCGGGGATCCGAACCGGGGCCCCACTACTCAGAGCTGACATCCCAAGCCAACTCTTAACCAGCGCGCTATTTGGCCGTCCCTGGAGAGTCTAGTTTTAAGGACAGAGTAAACTGTGCTATTGTGCTTTGCCCCATGAACGTTATCCTCTCCCCAAAGGGGAAAGGGGAAAACTCAGGGGAAAGGCAAAGGAAAAGGGAAGGAGGACAAGCAAGAAGAGCTGGATGCTCACTTTCTCACCACCACAATCTCCCATTTTTAGGGGGTGGTGGTGTCACAATTATATATGGAGGGAAACCATAAGTTTCCTATGTGTCCAAGAGGAAGACTCAGAAGGTGGGTAAAGGGAGAAACAGTTAGTTCTACCAAGAGATCTACCAAGCCAGATATGTTCTGGCTGTAACACACTTAAAAAGTCAGAGATGAGACTGTAAGAAAAATGTCGTACCAGGAAGCTACACTGGGTCCAGGTGGGTGACTACCCCTATATACCATGCCACCCTAAGAGTTAACCTTATGTCTCATATCTAGAGAACAAAATTTAATCATTATGCCATTATTCCAACAACAGACTTATCAATTGGAGACTCCAATGGTGGCTCCTTTCTCATTACCAACTCTTGCCGGTCATACCAGGTGTGACCAAAAAGTACAGCGAATGTTTAAATAAAATTTATTATAGTAAAAGACACATTGCTATTAATCCCCCTCAAAATACTCTCCCTCGCTTCGAACACACTTATCCCATCATTCTTGCCACTTTCTGAAGTAATTCTGGAAGTCCTCTTTCATGAGTGTCTTTAGTTGCACTGTTGTGGGTGGCTACCTCGATTTCCTGAATCATTTTCACTTTGGGAAAGAGCCAGAAGTCGCACGGTGCCAGATCCGGTGAACAAGGTGAATGAAGACACACCGTAATGTTTTTATTTGGCAGAAATTGCTGTACCAGAAACGATGTGTGACACTGGAGTGTTGTCATGATAAAGGATGATTGATGGCACACTTTAAAAGACACCTTCTCTCAGCCACAGCTCACACCCGACTGAC